GTAAAATCTGTAAAATTCGGGAAAAATACAGATAATTCATTTAAATGTATCCTGTTGTGCTAAACAATTGATGTTTATCAATTATTTTATTGACTTTCAACTTCAAACGCTCATCGATTTAGTTACTCTGTGCTTATAAACAATGACAGTAAACTACAGAGCGACCAATGATCTTAGAAAGAGAACTGTCAGTTGTCACAACAGTGTCAAAAATGGTTAGTATTAGTTATAGTTGAAAGAAAAAAGCAAGAAAGAACGGATAAGAATGATAGAAGAATATCGGATAACTTCCAGGCAAATATTAAAATGTTCTGGGAACTTGTAAGAACTGCCAGGGGACATTCAAAACAGCCCATGATGAATGCTATAAGAGACGAGATGGCTATATTCTGAATGATAAAGTTTTGAGTTTAAAGAGATGGAAGGAATATTTTGAAAGCGTGTTTATGAGTGAGGAGACAACGTGTGTACTAAGTGAGGTGGAAACACCGAAAGAAGATGAAAGAGGTAGCGAGATAAGTATAGATGAAATAATGAAAGCAATGAAAAGCATGAAAGCAGGTAAGGCTGCCGGATATGATAGAGTTTCACTCGAAATGCTAAGGGCTGGAGAGAAAGTGGTGGCAGGCCTGCTGCACACCTTGTTTAATTTATGCTGGGAACTGAAGCGGGTACCGGTAGACTGGTACAAAGCCGTGATAGTCCCAGTATATAAAGGAAGAGGGTCGCAGCAGGACTGTAAAAACTACCGTGGCATCAGCCTTCTTAGCATTGTAGGAAAACTGTATTGCTTGGGAATACTGATTGAAAGGGTCATGAAAGAAACTGATGGAAAAATTTGGGATGTGCAAGCGGGATTTAGAAAGGGAATGGGATGTACAGATCAAGTCTTTTCCATGCGCATGATCGCGGAGAAGTTTCTGGCCAAAAACCAAAAGGTTTTTTGTGCGTTCATGGACTTGGAAAAGGCCTATGACAGAGTGGATAGGGATTTGCTATGGCAAACACTGAACTCATTTGGGTTGAGCGCTGGCTTGATACAGACATTCTAGTCTCTTTATAGGGACTCTAGTGCTTGTGTTAGGATCAACGGGGTCTACTCGGACTGGTTTAACATCCATAAAGGTGTCAGACAGGGCTGTGTGGCTTCCCCGTGGCTGTTCAACCTATTTATGGACAGTTGTTTGCAAAATTTGAAAGTTGTAGAATGCGGATTAAGAATGGGTGAGTTAACCGTCAAATGCCTTTTGTACGCCGATGATCAAGTTATTCTTGCGTCGTCGGCGGCCGAGTTGCAAATGATGGTTACATTAATGAACGGATCATTAAAAGAAAGGGGTATGAAAGTGAACGCAAGTAAGACGAAGGTTATGGTTTTTGAAAGAGAAGAAGTAAAACGATTTGTGAAATAAGAATAGAAGGGGAGTTGATCGAGCAAGTAGATGAGTTTGTATATTTGTTTGCGTATTTAGCAGGGGTGGGAGGAGATATGATAAGGATATAGAACGACGAGTGAATGCGGGAAATAGAGTAAATGGGGCCTTGCACTCTATTGTGAAGAGTCAAAATGTGTCGAAAAAGGCATGTATGACAATTCACAATGCTGTGTTGGTCCCTACTTTAACGTATGGTAGTGAAAGTTGGGTGTGGCAGAAGAAGCACGAGAGTAGAATAAACGCAGTAGAAATGCGGTCGTTAAGGAGTATGTTAGGGCTAAATCTGAATGACAGGGTAAGAAATTGTGTAATAAGAGAAGAGTGTGGTTTGCAAGATGATGTTGTGACCAGGATTAAGAAAGGAATGCTTCGGTGGTTTGGTCATGTGGAAAGAATGAATGAGGAAAGAGTGACAAAGAAAATTTATGGTGCAGAAGTGAATGGCAGAGTCGGAAAGGGACGTCCTAGGCGAAAATTTATCGACCAAATTGGCGATTTATTGAAAACGGGCCAAATTAGGAGTACCCTTAACCGACGAGCATGTATGCGTAGGTGTATGGATGTGAAGGAGGCATGAGAGGTGTGTCAGGATCGTGCCAAATGGAAGTCTGTAGTCTCTGCCTACCCCTCTGGGTGACAGGCGTGAGTGTTTATGTTTTATATTTATGTAAAACATGGGGGGTTAGAGAACAGGAGAACGATCGCTACGTACTAAAGCATAGCCCGCCTGTCCTTGAAAATTTGTAGAATTTATAGTGGCGCTGCCGTCGGTGAGTAGTGGCCACGAAGTTAGCTGTTTATGAGTACAAGTAGATGAAGTAAGTTGAATAATGTACAAATTTTCTTCGCGGCACTGGTGAGAAAGTTTTCTTGCTTCGTAATTTTTAATTTTTGACAAAAAGAAACATTAAAAAATGGAGAAATATTTTATTGTGCGTGGATAAGCAAGTGGTGATCAGAAAAATAGACTGAAAATGACTTTTCTTGAGCAAACTTAGCGATCGCAGCGCCTCACTTATGGTGTCCATATTTCTGGGACACTATTTTCTACGGCGATCGTTCTCCTGTTCTCTAACCTCCATTGTGTAAAAAATACGTGAAATAAAGATGTCAAACGTCACTAATCAATAAAAATGACAGCTTACCGCCATGACGGGTTTTTGTTGTGTGTTGCAATTTTAAGTGTAATTTCCGGTACTTAACCAACAAACAAAGCCATTATAAAGTAATTGGACAGTTGAAAATCGTTTAAAATGTGTTTTACTATTCTTGAGTGTAGTGTACAAGGACCTGGCCCAGGCTCCATACAGTTTGGAATATCTCATTTTTCGAATAGAATTTAGTCTCCATCACCTAGTATACTATTTGTTCGTGAAGGTTTTTTACAATCCATTCAGCCATTCCGAAGATTAGCTCGGACATACAGACAAATGAAAATTTAAAAAATAATTACTTCATGTCTCAGAGGAATAAATATTTTATACAAATCATTAACAAACAAAATCAACAAACGTTGTGGCTCACAAATTAATAAACCGGACTGAATTTTTTTGTAATTTGTGGCATTTTTTAACATTGATTCCAATGACTAGTTGGATTGAAGTTATAGAACATACGAAAAACGCATATCGCTACGTATTTTTGCAGTCTTTACCGGCGGGCAGTGTGCGAGTGAGAGGTGAATAAAGGCGACGCCATTATCAATCCCATTCTTTAACCGCACGGGTAGTACCTAATTTACAATTAGCAGCGTAGTTTTAAAAGCATTTTCACGTTTATTTTAAATATTTATTGTATGAAAGTAACGTTACATACTATATTCCATTGCTGAAACAAGATTCCTGTCATTTCTGAGAGGACTAGGACAAAGAAATATCCAGTACTTTTTTAATTTCCTCACATTGTTTTCTTTCACAGCTGAGCTTGTGGTAAATCAGCACTTAAAATTGAGTGAACAATTTCATTGCTGGGATATTTATTGTAAATAAAATATTTTAATGAAGAAGTATATTGAATAAAGTAGTACCAACTTTAATTTTGAAGACATTAACGTATCTTCGAAAATGTTTAAAAGTTTAATTGAAGATATTTATTTTTTGTTATTTCGACATTAGGTAAAACCAAGAAAAAATATTTTTTAATTAAAACTTTATTTAAAACTTTTTTGTATTAATCACAAATGTTACAAAAAACGGACTTAATGTCAACCAATTGCGTGGTGAAAAATTAGTGGCGGGGGTGCTTTTCATCTATACTTATAAATAAAAGTTTGTGTCTGTAAAATTTAAGCTAATTTTCGGAAGAGCTGTACTGATTGCAGTGAAACTTCTCGAACAGACAGAGAGCAATAAAAAGAGTGATTAGGGCATATTAAAAAATACTTGTGCAGTTCATATCTATGCGGTAGAAGTCAAACCTTCAAGTGAAATAAAATAATTAAAAATATTTCATTTTTATTTTATTTATTTAATACAATAATTATCAACCACAAGTGCGGCATAAAATATACAATAAAAGTTTGATTTTATAACCATATATATATCTGTCATCTGTAGTGCCTATCGGCGGCAGATCCCAGCCTTGGCTTAGAGTCTCCTGGAAGATTGCGTCGCGGAAAGGAGTGTTACAAGACCGGGGCTGACGCATCTGCGTCCCGGTTCATTCGCCTACCACTAGCGTACTAAAAGAGAAGTATATCTCGTCGGTATAACTCTGCCTCCAGGTCCTTCAAATGAGTTATCGCTAGGGTATAGTTGGAGCACATTGAGAGAATTGGAGAAACTTCAAAGTAATAGAAACCATTAGCTGCAAGCTCATGCAGTAACTTGAAGAGTTGAACCTCGAAGTTCACCTTGAATAGAGACGTGATTAGTGACCGTCAATACGGTTTCCATCGAGGCCGATCAGCTTGTGTTCTTTTTGTCTACCTGACTCACTGAAGGACTGAGGCAGCCGATACCAAGGGGAAAGTCATGGCGGTTAGTGGACATAGCGAAGGCCTTCTATCGGGTTTGGCACAAAGCGCTTCTTTCGAACTTCCCTATTATAGACTTTACGAGAAATTATGCAATTGGTTCACAAGTTTTCTTACAGATCAGAGTATTATGGTAGTGGTCGAAGATGCATGCTCCGAATCCAAGCCTGTAAATGCTGGTGGTCCACAAGGCTGCATGCTACCTACCATTTTTCTTCTGCAAATCAATGATATGTTGCATACTACAGCAACATTCATTATTGTGAAGACGACAGCACTGGCGATACCTTATACACCGGCCGTACTAGTCATCGAGTGTCGGAACAAACTTGTGTCTGATATCGAGTATTTGTTACACAAAATCTCAGTTGGGGGCGACTAAAGTTTAACCCTCAAAAGACACAATTTTGCGCGCTTACCGCAAAATAGAAACCCTTTGTCGTATCTCCTCGATTTCAGAGCACTATTTATGTTTCTTCAGCCAGCACCGGAATCCTTGGCGTCGACATTTCGAAAGACGTACAGTCTCGTTGTCACTTGAAAGCGAAGGCTAAACTGGAATTAAAAAAGCTTGGGAGTGCTCAGTAGATCGAGACGGTATTTCATACCGGACCACCGCTTGCAATTTTACAAAGCGCAGATTCGGCCAAAAAAAAAAATAAATATAATATACATAATTTAAAATACACTATTGACAAAAAATAACATTAGCTATTCCTAAAAATATAATAGACTATGTAAAAAATATAAACTGAAATATATACTAAAAAGATTTACAATTATTTGTCATATATCGTCAGTTTTAAATTCTTAGTTACTTTTTTGCCGTTTTTATCAAAATCATTCTTAATTACCAGGGCAATCTCACCTCTTGCTTTTTGTACTAGTCAGTCTTCTGTACTATTAAACACCAACAAAATTGTAACATATACGTGGCAAATAAACGTACTGATTATTGAATTGTTTTTTACCACTTTATACCCATAGCAGATCAAGGGTCCCTCGAATATGATTTGCTACGGGCCTCGCGCTTGCTTAATCCGGCACTCTAGCGCAGGCATAGCTAGGCAGGTTCGCCAATAATTAAATAAATAAAGAGAAATAGATATCAAAATTAAGCTTATATATTGCATAAATACAAACAAATACATAATAATCCGTATATGTATATACCGATTACTAATATGTAAATGAATATACTACATATATGTTAATACATATAGCATAATTGAGTTGTGTTGCGGGTTGTGGCTGTGCAGAGGAGGAGCAGGAGCCGGCGGAGGTGAACGTGGGCGCGGTGGCGACGGGGTCGGGGTCCAACCTGTTCGGCGTGTCGGGGCGGCTGGCGTCGTGGGTGCGCGAGCTGTCGTCGCTGCGCTCGCGCGCCTCCGACGACGCGGCGGCCGAGCCGCTGCAGCCGCCGCACCACCCGCTCCCGCCGCACCATCCGCACCACCCGCCGCGGCCCAACGGCCTGCTGCACGACACCACCGGCTGCTAGCCCCGCGCTGCCCTTGCGTGCGTACACTTTGTTCCACTACCAGCCACCACCGATATAAACTCTGTTTAGCGACTCGTGCTCACATGTGCGACTAGCGGCACGAATCCTGTGCACGATATTGACTCGTAGTCCATTTATGCTTTATATTTGGTTAATGAACACGCTGGGTGAAAACGGCGGAAATTATTTCACGTGTTGTCCGTTGATCAATCGTCATCATCGATTAGATACAAAACGTTTAAGTTTGGTGGGATATATACGCAAACTTGCCCCCGCGCCGCACTATTGTCAATTCTTGCTCAAGACTCGCGCCACTACCTAAATGTTTGATAGTTTAATAATTACAAAGGAATGTATGAATAGTTTCGTGTTGATTAACGTGACGCAATTTATCTTAGAAATTGAACTATTTAAGTATTTTTAAACAAGAAATAGTTACAGTTGTCTACATTCGCAGAAAATTGAATTGAAACATCTATATATTTTGAAGTCTCGATTTTATTCCTCTGAAAAGTGCTGTAAAATTAACCAGCCGTAATTATACCCATCCATCGAGCTATTATAGATACCTATCCATCGAGCTATTATACCCGGCCCAAAAAATGACAAAAATATTAGCTTCGGCTTTTGTGTATAGTAGCACTAAATAAAAGTGAGATTTTCAAAATGTTTAGGAAAAAATAAAGTGTACCCAAAAGGGATAAGCCCTACGTCGCCGCACACGACGGCGCCTCTATCTACCTCAGGCCGGCGATGCGCACGCCGCGCTCTTCGAATCTAGTTGTAAGTGTAGCTAGTGAATTATTGTTCGCCTCGTTTTATTTATTTCGTACGCTCGATTCGATCCGGCGACGTCCGACAGCGAACGATATTTGTATATCATATTTAGTCTATCGCGCGCCGTTCTCGATATTGCCGCCTCTTTACCCTTCAAGGAGGGTGAACTGTAACGATATACATCGAATAGAAAATGAAAAATGTCATTACTCAAGTAATCAATTTTTTTTCTAATGAAACAGTTCGACAATAGCATGCTCTCGTTAATTCCGAGTCGGCATTGTCTTAATACTTACTTGTGCAGTAAGTTTATTTTCTACGTCTCGTAATTCTGCGACTCAGTCTGAACTACAAAATAATTTTCTTCTGCTCATTTTGCAATGTGTGCGATATATGCATGCATAATGACTACGCTTGAACAAGCGTTTATATTTAATATTTACTTGCCATAGAAATTGATGATATTGTATAATTTTTACGCGTTCAAATTATTTTTATTAAAAAAAAATGGTACATTGTAAAATAGCATTATTGCGTAACGTTTAAAGAAATAGTAAACACAAGATTGAAAATTGATATACCTATAAATAGAAAAGAAGTTCATTGCGCTCTATACAATATGCCATTTGTGTGATTGTGTTTATTCTAAACTTATAGTTCATTTTCGAATTCTCTCTGCATTTATTATAATAACCTATTGTACAAGAAGTAAATTCAGTACCCACTGGCGGCGATTTCTGTAGGAGAACTATACCTTTAATATCGTTACGTCATTTGAGGCGAGAGCGAGACAGCAGTGGTCCCTTCGTTCGAAGGATACCTTTACACCGGGGACATGTTGTATATCGAGTCGATCTGTTTCGACGTGAATCCTATATAGTTTACCTCAATAATATAGTTGTATCGATGTCATTTATGACGCAGCCTATTATTGTTAAGTCTATGTGTAAGGTGTAAAGTGTGTTTAGATACGTAACGTAGGTTATATTGTACAAATTATTTTTTAATAATTTCTTGATATTTAACCAGCGAACTTCTGTAAAAATGCGCATGGTTTCGAACAGGTGTCAAATTTGTCAAAAATTTGTTGTTGTTATAAGCACTTTGCTCTAATGTGCGTTATTACATGAATTTGTCACTTGTTCAGCTTCATGTTTTAGCATAAAGTATGTATGTGTATTTATAATACTCATTGTCCGTTTTATATGATGTTAAATGACTTCAATTTTAAACAAGTTTATTGATTTTTAATATTAATCAATGCTGGAAAAGAAACAAACTCTATAGTTTCTAAAATGAACAAAACAATTCGATTGTAGAGTATACTTGTTTCCATAAAGCTGAAATAATGTGTTCTATATCAAGTATGATGCAATAGATAATGTACGATTGTTGTTACATAATTTTATTATGATTATTTAGTACGAAATACCTATTATTTGTATAGCCAAAGTCTAGCTAATTTGCAAGACATGTATATAATTGACCAGTGGACTCGCAATAAATTAATCTAAACTAAACTTATACTACCAGTAATTCTATTTATTATTTCAAGTGATTGTGGACTTAATAAATCTGACTTAATGTAATAAAAAATTAATTGTAACAGCACATATTTATATTATTAAATGTTTAACGTCATTGTGTGGGAAATACTTGTTTGTATCTCTGCTATATTTTTTATTTAAAGTTTTAGAATATTTTGCACACGCTAGCAACACAGTGGTTGAGCAAAGAATAGAGAAGTAGCACGTTTCTTAATTTTTTTATGAAAGTTTACTAAAAATTATCAAGAAAAATTTAAAAAAATAATAATTTGTATTTTCATGTTATTTTAAAATTAATAATGATTTTTCTAATATGTAAATCAAACGCCAGTGACGTCATTATATCGCCTTTGTAACGCCACCGCATGGTGAAATGATAATACGCTCATGTTTACGTTGTCAAAATAAAAAAAAATGTTATTGCATAATACTGGTTTATATGGCTGTGTTCCGAAATGTGCCCAGTATAATGGCGAAAGCAAATGACGTCGTTAATTGACGCCATACTGTACTGGCGCGCTGCCGCCATATTGTGTCGAATAAACCCGCCATATTAAAACAATTTTTAATTCTGTGTACGCTGAATGAAGCATGCCTGAATGTTTTTATTTATTCAAATACAAAAAATTGTAGAATTATCGCTGGTATCTCCATTCTTCACAAATTTATTCAAACTAGATATAATAACTTTTGGAGCACAAAATGACATAAAATAATCGTCAACACTTTTCCAATATGGCGCAAATGTATGTTGTCATATTCAATGTTTTGAAACGAATCACCATTATGGCGTCGATTTATGACATTATTTGCATTGGCCAGTATACTGAGTACTATTTCGGATCACACCCTATGTTTTGTTATGACACATGGTTATTAAAATATTGAAAATATAGAATTATAGTATGATTGCGAATGACACAGCCTCAACGGATATAATGGCGTCACAACCAATCACAAGTCTCTTTTTAAATTCAAAAATTTAAGTATTCTTATATAATTATTACTAAAAATGGAATTATTAAAAAAATGTTTAAATATACTTTAAATTGATTATTCTTTCGTAAAAAAAACCTAATGCAACTTCTTTATTGTAGAGCGTGTAGCATTAGCATAAAATAATGTGAAATTGGTTAATTTAAAATCAATAGACATCTCAACGTTGTCAGCAAATAAGAATTTGTAAATCTATGCTATATGCAACAATTTATATATAAGTTTAAACATTTATGTAAAATATATGCTAATCTCCATAATACCACAGTTTAAATATAGTCTAACAGTTCTGAAATGATTTTGATGTCAAGCGATGCCGCCATCTGGGTAGGTATTTACCCGGGTAGCGTATTGGGAATAAAATAATTTTGGATATTAAATTACTCATTATCATATATTAACATTATGTCCATACTTATAAGTTAAAAAGTATGTGCACCTCAAACATAATTTACACGCGCGGTTTTGTGAAAACAATTGTTGTAAAATTAGTCGTGTTTTGCAAGGAACGGAATGCCTCAAGCCAGCAGAGATTCTGTTGTAAAAAAATTCTAATTTGAAATGGTTGGGGGTCAATTTTCTCGCAACTTTTGGATCAGAGGTAAATGACCAAATCGTCATTTTTCCTAATTTATACACGCTTAGACCAGCGAAAATTTTGTCCATTTCTTTAAAACTGTCTTTAGAACGCGCGCTTAACAAAACTCCGTGATTTTCATAGACTCCAGGTCGCGGATGTTTCCCGTATTGAAACACGCGCAATTAGCCTATACACAACGCTCTTTCCTCTTTAAAACTAAAATAGAGGTGTAATATGGCGCGAAAGATCATGATAGCGCGAGGCAAGCTTTCCCTTGAAAGAACGGTAAAGGCCTCTAATGAAAAAGATAGTGTTGCACTGCAAATATTTTCGTGACAATTTCTTTTTATAGATGTTTTCAGTTTTCGATTTTTAAATTTAATTATGTAGTGTATTTGCATTGGGATAAACAATTTCATCAAAAGCAAAATGAGGTTTCCCTCATTTTGTATGCATACCTAAGCATGGCCGTCATTTGAATTTTACTTTACTTAGTAATTCATATAAGTCATTTGAATTTCACTTTACTTAGTAATTCATATAAGTATAACAGTAATTCACCATTATAGATAGATTAAGTATCGAAAATGACACTTAAAATTAGTTAAGTTGTAAGTATTAAACACGCTCGCGTTAACCGCGCATGTATTGTACAGCAGACATAGGGGAGTGTGCTGTCACATGGTCGCGCCGCCCCATGCCCCGCCGTTGCTCTGCACATGTACATTCGTTTCCCAACTGTTAGACTATCTTTACACTGTGATAATACACATGATACATTAGCACCAACCGAAGTGAGACTCCATTATAAACTATTCCTGATATTAGTGCTCGCTTTATTATCAAACCGGGGTCTAATATGAATTAAATAATTATAATGTTACTATTGTCGTATAAGGGTATAAACGAGTGCCTTCAAAAATCCAGCCTTCAGCGGAATGCAGGATTGATGATTGTGTGAGGAACCACGCACGCGCATGTTTATTCAACCTTTGCGTTTCTAGTTCACATAATACGGTGACCTCAATGTACTTGTCACATCGTTGCGACTTATGTATGGACCACAAGTTCAAAGAGCTGGGCAAATATAGTATTTATAACGTTAAAACTCCGTTTCTAAGCAAAATCATGTTTCACAACGCATTATAGTCGTTCATTAAATATAAAACTGTAATCTGCAATACGACAAATGTTGAGAATCACGAAGTGTATAGGGTTAGAAGTAAAAATGAAAATTGTTGTTAAGGGCTCAAGGCACATTGCATTATCCAGACTAGTGTTGAATTTTTCAAATTATTTTTCAAAATTGAAATCCGAATGTGTAATTTAATATTTTGCATAGTGCCTTTTGCTCAAATTTGTAAAAATGTTACATTTTTATTAGACATAATATAAAACATTGGAACTTAGTGTTACGTCCTGTGTCGCTAGAAGTATTCCAGCGGGTGAACGTTGTCTGACGCATAAGTTATGTTCACTTCGCTAGAACGCTACTGAAAGAGTGTTGCTGACAGTGGGCCGGCCAAGCGCTCAGTTACTCTGGTGGCGAGCGAGTCGCGTCACTGGCTGCCACGGCTTGCCATGCGGCAGCGGTTGCGTGGCAGAACTTGAGTGGTACGGAGCGGCGCGACCGAGTCTCGCACAACGTTGCCTCCACACAGCGTTCCCTGCGGGCTTTACTAATTACCTTTGTTACTTACTCTTTTAACTATATCAGTATTTACTATTTATTGTGATTTCCACCTAGTAAGGCAGTTACGTTACCTCATTCTTAGTAATTATGTTATTCATAAATTATTGACTGATAAACTAATTTCCAAATGATGTGTTCCTTGTGATGTGTGATTATGAAATTATAGTGTCGGGGTAGCGTTGTGCTTTATGCTCAATTTAGATACAATTTCACCAAACAATTGAGATAGTGTATAATTTTTATATTTAATTTAACGAGAACCGAGTACCTATTAATAATAATTTTAATATTTATATAAATAAAGTTAGAAAAATTAGCGAAGTATAGTTTTGAATATCAATGTATCCTAAAACACCCCTTGTTTTAAATATATTTTATACCAAGTTAGAAACAAGGTGTATTAATATCTCAAAATAAAATTGATTTTTCAATTGCAAGAGTTTTTAATTCGTGATGATACTGGTTGTCGTACAATAACAAAAATACAATTTATTCTGTGCTTTTCATTCGATATCTCATGTTCCTCAAGTTCAATATCTTTTTGGGCAAAAAATTTGGCAATCTACATTTGCATGGGTCATTTTTTGTGAACAATTTTAAGAGGTAAGCCATTTTAAAAGAACCTTCTTCTCCATTATTCTTTATTTTTTTTAAACTCTCTATATAATATTCGGGCAAGTGATGTTCAATTGCACCAAGAATTATCACATTTCTATAAGTTAGTGACGGCCAACGCTCTACAGGTAAATTGTCATTATCACTTCTTGGTAACAGATTCACTTTTTGAATATATGTACGACATGTGAGTATGCCGATGTACGGCGTTAGAACTTCAACATATTTTACGTAATAATTTTCAACATCGACGTCTTCTTGCCTGTGAGTATGTAGAATAAGTAATGTTTACACAAAAAGCCATAACTAGTTCAAATTATTGTTAATGAAAAATACTAGCTTTTCAAGAAATTTCAGTTTATTTGTGTCAACTCGCCACACGACGCCCCAAACATGTGCATTTGCAGTTGGCACTATGGTAGCTGTAGGACCTCCCCAAAATTTCGAATATCTGTTGAAATCCAACCTATAATTCTATAAACCCAATATATTTTAAACAAATATATTTATAAAAAACAAAAACGCTTATTGATTTACTTACATCCAAATGGGCAATTGAGATGAAGTCTAATTTTAAATTATATAAGCCAATCTTGAATGTTGATAAATTACTTCCGTAAGAAAAATACAAGAATTTACTATTTGGTTTTTTTATTATAGATTTTATCATATTTTGTTAGTTTTAATGCATTCCGAAAATTATGACAAAACTATTTTTGTTGTCAATTTATTTATTAATTTTTTAACTAAAAAGGTTTATTTTAACATATTCAATGTCCGTTTTTTAAGACACAATAGTAAGACAAGAGTAATGCATAGGATAGAGAATAGGTTAAAGAATAAGTTAAAATATATTTTACAATTATTTAGAGTATAATATTTTTTCTTACATTTTCCTGTAATAATTAATTAATGAAAGCGTTTTCAATTGCTTGATAATTTCAGTTTTTCTATCATTTTTGGAGATGCCTTTTGTCCATTATGCGGAATTTTCTTTAGCTTTTCAATATAGTCTTCTGGTAGTTTACATTCAGTAGCGCCATTAAGTATGCAATCTAAATATGTGATGGATGGCCTTCGATCGTGAGGTATTTCCTCATCTTCCGTCCGAGGGGGTGGATTTATAGTTTGCTGATATGTGCGGCATTCCAGATTAGTCCCACAAGGAGTTATAACATTGATAATTTTTGGAAAATACCAATTTGTATCCACTCCTTCTTGCCTAAAATATTTTTAACTTTGAAGTGTTTTATTTTTCAAACAATACATTATCAGATTTACTATTTTAAATGTCTTCCACTACCGCACTGAGACTGCTATTGCGTGATAGTTTGAAGAATTCAAAAGCACGTCCGAGTACGTCACTCGCAACGGTGGCGTACAAGTATCGCCTAATACGTGTATATTGCAAAGCTTTAGCCGATCCTAATGGCGTAACAATGTCTTACAACAAAATAATTTACACATAAAGAAAATAAATTAACGTTGCTACGTTTTTCTGATGATGATCAGGAGCTCACGAGCGTGCTTTGTATAACCTACGCTAAGCAGTAGGCTTAATGAAGGGCTGTATTAATAATGATGATGATAAAAATGAAAAAATTATACCAGTTTAAAGTAGCCATGCTTAGCAAGCGGCTTGGCAACCGCAATTTTTTATTCTTTTAGTTGTTATCAGGAAAATGTTGCCGTTCAACTGGTTTTTTTTCCTCTGTCGCCTCTTATGACTTACGGGACTATATGGGGAGTGGATACTCTTACAGTCATCCACAATTCACAAGTCATCCACATCATAAATAATTAAATCTAAATCTGCGCACCCCTTCTTATTGTTTAAGTAGATTTTAGCAATTTTATTATATTTCACAAGTTTATTAAGTGATAATAATCTACCAAAATACAAATGAGGTACGAGCAGTTTTAAATAAGAATAAATAAGATTTTTTTTCTCTAAAAACGCATACTTAGGGACCTAAACAAATAAAAGGACATCGCAGTTCTCGAATGGGAACGTTGCCATTGCGCTGTACGCAACGCCCGCCCTCTGTACGTAAACCAAACGAGTGTGACGCTTCCTGTACTCATTAATACCCTACAACCAGTGCCGCAATGCTTCGGCTTTGATACAGATTTTTTATTATTTTTTACAAAGTTTGTGTTGTGTTTCTTATGTGCTCGATATAGTCTACCAGGTTGTGGTCAAAAGACATTTACATCTTTCCCCGGTTAAGAATCCTCCAAAGATTGAAGGCTTGTGGTCAGAAGTCATTTACTTAGGATACACACAAACATATCAAAGATCAAACAAATATCGACACGCACGACCCGCGACAGTCCCCCTTGCCCGGCTGCCAGTTAGGTGTGATAATTGCGATTTATTTAGAAAATATATCAAAATCTTTACCAAGTGCTTTAAAATTATTTGTGGTGAGTATCATACAAATTTATCTTATCTTCATTGAATTTCTCCAATCAAAATCACTCAATCATGCTGCAGCTAAAACCGATTTAAGGCTAATAATAGCTAATATTTGAATAACAACCATACTGTCGTATAGGTTGAGGATGCAGACGTCTAATTAATTCTGTAGGACTTATGAAAAACAAATTTAGCCTAGGTAACCAATTTATTCTTATATCGATTGGCAATAAACATCTTGTAAAACATCGGTCACTTTTTCACAAAACAGTCCTGGCCAAAGGAGATTTTAATTACCGATCTTGATCAAAACTACTTTTAACCAACCTAAAAAAGACTAAAAAAATTTAAAGAAACCTTTGCTTTTAACTGTTTTTGTCGATCAAGGTAGTTTTGAGTAGGAAAAGTTTGGACTGTAAAATAATCATTTATATTTTGACAACTATGGAGCTGCTGAAGAATCACATAATATCCAGAGATGTCTCAGTCATTAATAGGTTTAATACCGTAAACGATTATGGACTCGTTCGTGCCACTCTGAACATCGATTTCAAGATTAAATGCGCGATAAACCATTTCGGCATCCCATTCAGTTGGAACTGGAATCGATTCTAAGCCTTAAAACCCACAATGAACATTGATAATGATCTTGATAAACTGTTCAAGATCTCAAGTAATGATCTCTGCATGTGGAAGTCTAAAAACTCAGTGGTAGAGCCATGCTGCAGCTACATTATGGTTGCAACACGAATGGGTCAGCTCGACCAGGAAAGGACCATACTGTCACAAAATACGTGTCAAATAGCATGTCAATTTGTCATGGCAATTTTCGTATGGTGAGTGTAGATAACAGGAGACCCTTTTCACTGAAAACGAGACATTTCATCTTAGTCCTCAGGGTTGGCAATGCATCTTGATTGGGGATAGATGGAGATGTATATGGGCCACAGCATCCTGTCAACATTAGGTGGACTGTGTGCTCGTTTGCCACCCTTATTCTATAAAAATATCAACAGCATCAGAACAGTTGGAATCACCAGGCTAAGTTGCACGACGCGACGGGACCTGCAGCGCTCTAATGCAACCTTCATTCAAGAAGCTCAAGGAGGTGCAACATTACTAAACTAAGGACATGTGATGGTAACACCTCCATGTCAGAATCTCGTGGAATTCGAAGGCTATTACGATCCACATATGTGTCACAAAATCAGTAACTTGATCCTAAATACGAGTCACACTAACCTGACACTTTACCGAAGAGCGGCCAGATATTTGTCTATTGATCGAGATCAGGTAACGCATCACAGTTTGTTTTATTAGAAAGTTCAAGACAATGTTGAAGAATTGTGCGTCATCACGAAACGACTCGTGCGAAGACTTGACGAATTTCAACCGCCTCTGTGTCTTGCCTTATTAGAAAGCCTATGACTCCATCGAAACTTGGGCTGTTATAGATTTCTTGTAGTGCTGCCAAATTGACTGGTGATATATTTAGATGTTGAGACATCTCAAAAATATACCTAAGCTCGACAGGGCGTTCTATCAAAACCTATCCAGTATAGTATCGTAGTGATAGGGGGACGAAATATCCTCGAGACTGTTTCCAAATGCACTGGAAAAATTTATAAGATACTAACTGGAATGGATCAATGTAAACAGTAAAACATCACACGCTTGCGCCTTGGCGATGGTTTCGTCGCCATGTTTAACGGCCATGTTATGCCCTACTATTAGAATTCTTGAAGATGATTAAGAGTATATTATCCATCTTGGGCAGACAGTGCAGTTATGTAGAAACAATTTCGAGAAAGCTGATAAGCGGATTCAGTTGACCTTGGAAAATTTAGGAAGTATTGTCAGGCTTTTTCGTCGCCCATACCGCAAATCTATGACCATTGTGTCCTACCTGTACTCAGATTGATGCTAAAACGTAGTCACGATGAACAGAATTACTACTCTAAAAACTGAAAATCACGCAACGAGTGTTGGAAATAATTACTATTGGAGTTTCTCTGGTGAATAAGATTTGATGAAGAAATCTGCTGGAGAACCAAAGTTACAGGCCTTATGTATTTGCAAGACAAAGTTGCGATGGGCTGGTCACATCTGTCCCAACAAGTGACAACTGTGTGGGAATAGTGTTATCATAGAACGGAGACCACGCCTTAGTAGAACGCAATGTGGGTCGCCTTCTCGTTAGATGGAACAGCAATCTGCACAAAGCTTGTAGCAGCAACTGGATGTGTGAAGTCAAAGATCGAGCTAAGTGCTGCGCCTTTCGCAAACTGCAGTATTGAATCATGGTTTCTAGGTTTAAGTTTCAACTAGAACTCAACTAAAACAATACTGATAGATCGGTACATTTTGTGTTAACATGGATTAAATGCTGAGCCTGATCCTTCTTCATTCACTATTATTACAGTCTATCAACAGGCTACTGCCTCATATTAGGGATATTTGTCATAGTTGCCGCTCTTGGTTGACAAGTTTTGGAAAGCACCAACAGCACACACTCCAACTAAATCAATTAATAAATTATATTCTTAAAAATTAATAATCCCATAAAAAACTGTGATTGCTAACTTTAATAGCAGAATCGTGGGTCCACCTTAATAGTAATGAGGAATCCAGACCTAATGAAATTGTATCCAAGGGGGGATATCAATCTAATGTGAGCCATGGAAGATCAGCCGTTAAAGCTTGCATGGTGGATTATTGACACCCCCAATTTATTATTTTGAGTTGTTATCAGTAAGACAGTGCTACCCACCTTGTTTAATTTCCCTCCGTTGCCTCTTACAACTGCACAATATGATATTACGGTTTAGATTCTCTTAAGTGTAAAGCATACATTTGAGTGATTTTTGTAAGGTAAGTAGGTACATGGTAAGAAGCAAAATCATCACCATTAGCAATAATAGTTACAACTTAACCATTCAACCAAGAAATGATTCTGTAATTATACTCTATATTACCAATCCAGTGATTTTAGGTCATTATTATGTAATCTCCATATAGCTCCCCATACATGACGACCTTTGGTTGGAACGATAGTAGCTGATGCTCCTCTCCAATGGTCTGAATATTTAATAAAATCAAGTTGGTGCTCCTGAAATATTAAAAATTGCTGTGAGGAAGCAAACACAAAGCCAGGTCAATCGAGATTTTAAGGTTCATATTTTCAATGTTTGCAATTTAATAAGTGATTATTTAGTTATAAGCAAGACTACTTTGATTGTCAATCTGCTTGCCAAGTGTCACGATTATGGTAAATAATTTCTGCAATTTAAGAGGTCCTCATTCTGCGGTGAACAAAGCAAGCACATGTTAGTACATTCTTATTTATCATGGAAGTTGTGATAATTAAGTTTAATTGAGAACTTTAAAATTACCACTCAATAAAATTTATAACTAATTAATCAATAATGACTGGATTAACCATATGTGCACCACCATTAACATGAGTTTAACTGTCACGAAATTGTTACCAGCTCACAAGTCAACTAAACACTAGTGAATTTTACAATTTATAATTTCTGTAATCTTATCCTGCTCCTTGCTCTAAAAGCCTGTCAGAAATGAGAAGAGGCCTGTGCCCAGCAGTGGGACTTAAATAAGATATAACTTTAACTTATAACCTAATCCTGAAATCATCCCGAATCAACGTTTTTGATATGTTTAAAAAAATGTAGATATAATCATATACTTATATAATGATAGCATAAATTATATTTCTTTAATTGGTAATTTTTTTAATAACCTATAAAATGATTAGATTGTGCTTTGCTTTATACAATACAAAAACAACATAGGAAAAGATTTGTATTGCTTCAGCATTAGTGCACAACAAATAGTTGCAGATCAACTGTTTAGTTCAACAGTGCCCGGTTGACCGAGCTTTGCTCGGTATTTTTCGCTCGGTGTTTTTTAATTCGTGTGTTTTGGAAATTATATTTAGATAAAAATTACATACTGATGAAATACGAATAATATTTTTTGATCTTAGCGACATAATAGAAAAAACTGAACTGGTTATTTGAATAAAAAATCATGAGTGCAATTAGTTTAATTTAAATTTTCATGTTTTTAAAAAATACTAAAAAAAGGGCTCGAAAAATTAGATTTCCTCAAAAAAGAAAGAAACTTGAAAAAAAAAATTAAAAAAAGTCGGTCGGTTGGCCTGGGCTCGAACCATGGTATTAAGATTTTGTGACCGCCCAATATACCAATTAAGCTTTGTAATCATTAATAAACTGTCAAAATTTACCTTCTTATTCTAACAATATTGTAGCAGTTTTTCATTGCCTAAAAACACGGACAAAAAGACATTTTCTAAAAATAAATCCTAGCTAGATCGATTTATTGCCCTCGAAACTCCCTGCACACAAAATTTTATGAAAATCATTGGAGCCGTTTCCGGGATTCCGATTATATATTGTTTGATAGTTATTTGAAAGATTAACCTTCGGTGGGCAACACTTTTTTTGCATACACAAATGGCAACAGGGGTGACACGTCACCCCATATTTTTTAAATTCAAATTAAACTGCAATGTTTGAGAGAACCAAAGTTGTTTATTATGACATCAATTGCTAATATAATAAGGAATATGAAAATAGTGTTTATTACAGCACTGATAATTTGATTTTATTTTTTGCATTAAATGCAGATCTAGCAAATATCTTCGCGATGTTCAGAGCAAGCGGGCTGAACATATTTTTTGCCAAAAGTTTATAATTTTTTGTCTAGTTTTTTTGGACACCGTGTACATCTTGCTTGTTTCTACAACATTGCACAGGGCTTACCGCTAGGAGGGCCCTGGGTTATATTACGAATATCACATAAAGTGACTCCCTAATTCTCGCGGCAAATTTGTACCTACTCAAACGATCCCTCATGTACGGTTTCACCAATTATAAACGTAATTTATTTAAACAACTGCTTCGGAACATGTTGGCAGGAGTGTTCTAATGTTTAGCATCAATATAAAGCAACATAGAATTGACACTAGCCTGATCCAGCATACCATAGATTTATCGAAGCAGCCTACGTCTCGTATTGCAAGCCGAACTATATGTATACACTATTTTGTTGAAAGTATCAACTCCACATTCAAAGTTACAAACTTACAAATAGTTTCGATACTGTTCATGCGAAATCGAAGCCATTTTCACCTCAGAAACCAAACATTTATATCAGTATCACCAAAAATTAAACTTACGTAAGAAGCAACAAGAAGTGGGTGATGAGTCACCCCAACAATGTCAATATAACAAAAATAACAACTTACTGTGACATGTTGACGTATGTAACTGATTGCATTCACTCCAATTGGAGAATAGATCGAGCATTAGAAAGAAACAAAAACAACACTAACAAGATATTTAAACTTTTTTCGAGTAGTGGGGTGACGCGTCACCCCTGTTGCCTTCCTAAGGTTAAATTAAAAAGCTGTGGATGTGGTTTTATAATTTTATGTTGAACAAAGTTGATAATGTGCTGATCTCCATATATTTCCATAGGCTTTCCTCATAAAACTAAGCAATTGTTCGATTAAAATTGTGCGCTTGGGATAAACCATTACATATTAGCAATAACACAAATAGAAATTTAGGACCAATAGTAATAATTTATCTTACCGGAATTAGAATGTACTTGAAAGTGCTTACGACAGTGAATTTTAAATTATCACACCAGGTTACTCACATCAAGTCTTCCAATTCCCACAAAGACTGCAGAAGGATTATTAATGTGAATTCTTCTTTTTAATAAATTACTGCCATAAGCAAAGTATAGGAAGGTATCCCTAACTGGTGTCACCATTTTTTACTAGATATGAACGACCTTCTGGAAAATTCACAACAAAAAACTAACTTCTGCTTTTGATTTGCTCAACTTTTTCCTTCTCCCAAGTTACTTTTAAAATAAAATATGATAATACTTTTATTTAGTTTGTGGCAATAAACTCATCGCAATCAATCATAAATTTAACAATCCAATCAGATTTTATGTCTTATCACCTTATAACTTATCACCAAAATTATGATCTGTGTACACAAAAGATAACAGTATCACGAGTTTAACAAAAATCAAAATAAACTATTTTGCTATTTACTTTACTATTTTAAAAATAACCTTTATTTTTAAACGATTTAGGTCATGGCAACTAGGCATGTCGATTTAAAATCGATTAATCGAAAAATCGATTCTTTGGAGTAAAATAATCGATTTTTTTAGATCGATTCGAAGCACCGCATCGATTCACTGAATCGATCTAAAAACCTCTTGAATCGGACCGATTCATTTGATACAAGAACTAGCTAAAATTCCCAAACTGGGTGGAGTAAGATACCACAGTTTTTTAATTTTTTGCTGTTGGGGGACGCAAAAACAACCGGTCGTACTTGGTTGATAATTTGAACGCAATATATATTTGAATAAAATAAATGTTTATGAACGCATCCAACAATATCGAAAAGTTGTCATTTCATTTTCATTTCTAAAATTCTTAAGCCCACTTTCCACTAAGGGATATAATGTAATTTATATTACATCTCGAGATATAAATTAATAGCGCTCACCGTACTTTTAAATGGAACCGTTTCCACTGAGATGTAATATATATTACATCCCAAACTATAAATATTTTTTCGATCGACCGAGCGATATTTTCATATTATATTTCACCTCCTGTAATATAATATAATATTATAGCTGTGAACTTGTGAATTTACATTATTCATTATCAAAAATATACATACTGTGAGCTGTAAGTACAGACAGAGTAATTTACCTACCTACTGTAAATAAATACTTACCTAAATACTTTAAATAAATATTATACCGTACGTTGAAGTTTATAGAGGTTTATAGTAAGGAAATAACCAGTATTGTGTTCGTGTAGCATTCATTTCGATATGATAAATAGTGAGTTATTAGATTGAAACAGATTTATCGAGAAATGTACGTTGCAGTTTGCACTTCTGTTAAAGTATTGTTGTTGTTTTTAGCCTAAAATGTCAAATAAAAGTGTTACGTGGAATCACTTTGTAAAAAAAGGGATCGAGTGGAGTATGTGCGAACCACTCCTAACGTTTCAAGCTTGAGTGGTTGAAAGGAATATTAGTAATGTTAATCAATAAGATTACTAATATTATATTTAAAAAAAATTAAAAAAAAAACAGTTTAGAAGTTAAAGAAAAAAAAATCGAAAATTCTTGAAATTTCATGTTTGAAAATGTCGCGATTAATCGAAAATCGATCTTTTAATCCTCGATTTAATCGATAATCGATTCAAGTTACTTCGATTCAAATCGATTAAGATATCGATTTTTTTAAGAGTGAATCGACATGCCTAATGGCAACTACGCCCATACAGCCTTGTGCCAGGCATCTGTCACTTCTGTTACACCTAAGTAACTTTCCGTATATACACTTATCTATGTAAGTAACTTGACTACTATTTCGCAATGTATCTTTTTAGGCCCTTCACACATTACGATTCTCGAAAGAGACGATACTTCAATCGCATACCAGTAGAATACATGTTCGCTACTCGAGGTTCATACATTAAGCTACAAAAAACAAAGATCATTTGCATTTGCAACACACACCGCTAGGACGTTTGTAATTATCTCGAGGGATTCCAGTGAAGAAGAAGCACTTGCAGTGTATCTTTATTACAGAAATAGAAGACGAAACGGAAACAAAAGAAAATACTTCATCCTTTCATTACCAGAAGGCTACCAGGGTTCATCCTTTCATTACCAGAAACATAAATTTTAGAGCTTATGTTGCTACAAGAGAACTACAACTAGATGAGATAAAAATTTTATCATTTTACCGAATGTCTAAAGAATCTCATGCGCACCTTGTTAAACTATTGACACCTGCTATACCAAAAAAATACAATATTTAGAGAATGTGTCAGTGCAGAAGAAATAGTTTTGATAACGCTAAGGTAAATGGTAAATTATATTAATCATTATTGTTATAATACATTTATTATTAATAATACATGTCATACAGAATGATTACTCTACTTGATCTTCATTCAGTATTATCATTTTGATTACCTATATTGATTAGATAACAATAAATTAATGGACTGATAATAAAGCGTGAGTTGTGAGTTAGAATCATCATTCATGGTGCTAGTATCAACTGGTATGTCAGCATTGTTTGGCGATGGAGTAGGCAGTAATGTGATTGGACTATGTAGCACAATGTCTTGCTCTTGTGCCATTATTTCATCCACTAATGCAAGCAACCTTCGCGTAAAGACTCTTTGTATGTCTTTCATTTTGTTCATGTCCGCTAATATACCTACTCATTAAAAACATTTTATTGGAACTTTGTTCAGAATTCTCAGAACTTTCAGTTACTTTAGCTTGTTCCATTTTGAAATAATTTGCAATATCTTTCTCTGGTGTTTCATCTTTCTTTCGGTAGTTTTTCATCTTTCTTTCGTTAGTTTTTTCTTTGGTCTAGGTTGCCTTTGTTGTGATTCAAATTCAGCTTGCTGTGTGGGGGTAGTCAAGGCTGCGCTTGTGATCTTACTGAAGAAGTTGCAAGATTGAAGGAGGTATCTCTGCTTTTGACTGAGTTGAAGTTTATGGCTGCGATTGCATGATTGAAGGAGGTATATCTGCTTCTGACTGAGCTGAAGTTGATGGCTGTGGGGTTGCAAGATTGAAGGAGGTATCTCTGCTTCTGATTGCAAGATTGAAGGAGGTATATTTGTTTCTGACTGAGTTGAAGTTGACGGCTGCGGTTGCAAGATTGAAGGACGTATCTGTGCTTCTGACTGAGTTGAAGTTAATGGCTGCGATTGCAAGATTGAAGGAGGTATCTCTGCTTCTGACTGAGTTGAAGTTTAATGGCTGCGATTGCAAGTTTGAAGGAGGTATCTCTGCTTCTGACTTAGTTGTAGTTAATGGCTGCGATTGCAAGATTGAAGGAGGTATATCTGCTTCTGACTGAGTAGAAGTTGATAGCTGCGGTTGCAAGATTGAAGGAGGTATCTCTGCTTCCAACTGAGTTGATGAACACTGTGACATTAATGCACATGGTTCTTCAGGAGGCATTTCATTCAAGTTTCCCGAAATATTTCCGGCTATTTTAATATATGGTACAGCAAATTGCATGTAGTCCGCTAAATAATGTTTTTTAGTAGCTGGACCACTTTTAGGTGGTTTCAAATGGTGCACGAAGACGCTGCGTAAGTTTTCCACTTATCCTTACATTCAGATCCTGCAAAAAAAACTTGTGTAGAATATTTATTTTCAGATATTTGAAGTCTGGATGTTCTTTTGTAAGCTTAGGATTGTATTTTGTAAGAGGAGATAGTACAATTTGCAATATTATAGCTGAAACTACAGTTATTATATGGGAGGTGTTAGCGTCGCAAGCCTAAAATTAGTATTAAATTATTGTTTATGTAGAAAAGCTAATCCCTGAATCTATCACACACTATCTTAATAGTGTGTGAATGTGGAAATGATATATGAATGTAGCGAGGTACATAGGCTGCACTAAAAGTATCGGGAATGGAATATTTCCACAAGATTTTAATATGACAGGAAGTCATATTAAATCTTTTTAATTGAAAACTCCTTGGTTTTAAAAATCGAATACCATTCATTTATTTAAAAAAAGATTTTCGGTCTTGTCACAAGGTATTTGTCAAACTTGTTTAGTCGTTGAGAAAATGGAATTGACTCGAGAAAATTCAAGAGCGATGATTTATTATGACTTTCGAAGTGGTTTAACACAAAAACAGTGTGTTGACCGGATGATTTCTGCATTTGGTGATGAAGCCCCATCCAAAACCACAATTTATAGCTGGTTTGCTGAATTTCAACGTGGGCGTGTCAAGCTCAGTGATGATCCCCGTCAAGGTCGTCCAAAAACTGCAGTCACCCAAGAAAACGTTGATGCTGTGCGTAAGCTGATTGAGAAAGATCGAGATGTGACACACTGCGAAATTCAGGCAACTTTAGACATTGTGGCATGAGTCAAATACAAATAATTTTGCATGAACAATTAGGTGTAAAAAAAGTTGTTTTCCCGATGGATACCGCATTCGCTCTGTGAAGAGTAAAAAGCGGCTCGCGTTACTTGGTGCGTCAGAACTCTCGAAAGATTCCACGCAGGATCCTCAAATGCTGTATACAACATCGTATCAGGTGACGAATCCTGGATATACGCGTACGAACCCGAAACAAAAAACCAGTCACGAGTTTGGGTGTTCGAAAATGAGTTAAAGCCAACAAAAATTGTTCGTTCACGGGGTGTTGCAAAAAAAAAATGGTGGCCACGTTTGTCTCCAAAACCGGCTATGTTACGACTATTCCTCTTCAGGGACAAAGAACGGTTAATGCAGAATGGTATGCTAGCATTTGTTTGCCACAGGTCGTTTCTGAACTCTGTAAAGATCCGCATCATCCTCCATCACGACAATGCGCACTCACACCGCACACAGAACAAAAGAGTTTTTAGAGCAAGAAAACATAGAATTATTAGACCATCCGCCGTACAGCCTCGACCTAAGCCCTAATGATTTCTATACTTTCCCTAAAATAAAGAATAAATTGCGTGGACAGAGATTTTCATCACCTGAAGAAGCTGTGGACGCCTTCAAATCGGCCATTTTGGAGACCCCAACTTCCGAATGGAATGGTTGCTTCAATGATTGGTTCCATCGTATGAAAAAATGTGTCAAATTTCGCGGAGAACTCTTCGAAAAGCAATAAATACATTTTTAAATAGTAATGTTGTGTCACTTCCTTGATTCCCGAAATTTTCAGTGCCGCCCTCGTATGAACGACATTTTATAACTTGAAGTCTTGTGTTACGTAACAATCAATGACTCACCACGAATCGAGATATTAAATGATTGAAAAGAAATTTTATTGCAAAAATTAAAAAGTAATTCAAAAATATTGTTTACCTTAAAATGTGGTGAATAGACACAACTTTCATCTTCTACACTGATTTTCTTACATATTTTGTATGAAAGCTGCTATTAAAGAATTGTCGAATTGCGAGTCTCGTTTTAATTTACCAAATAGTTATTATTTAATTATGCATAAATTTGAGAATCATTTGTAAAATAGGAAAAAGCAGGCGGTTTCTATTTACCTTGAAACTGGGATCAAAAGATACGACAGAGGGGTGAATAGAGAAGGAATGTTAGGGTTGTGAAAATCAACTTTTATTGTAGCTATGTAAGTAGGTATTCGTTTTTCAGTAAACAACTATCAACAATAATTGAAGAGTTTAATTTTTGTAATTACAATCATTTAAGTATAATATCTAGCGTTAGCGACATTACAAAGGATTATAAGTATATCTTTATTTTCTGTATCATTTATTGTTTTGTATCTATATATTGTTACAACTGTTTTAGCCAAATTATTTGCATAATCTAGAAATATAATCATTCTAGAGAGCTAGATAGAACAAGATATTCAAAATAATAAAAAAATAACAATAATATATAAAAGTATGATCCAAATTCTAACCTATACAATGAAATGCTTTAACTATAATATATTTGGCAAACAATCTTAGGTTTTATGCAATCAGCACCTATTTGAGATCAAAAATAACTATTAATTATAAAATTGTTGGAGTTAGATTCTAGTCTAACTACATCAAATCTTTTAAAATATCCGCGTCATTCTTGTAATAAATAGGCCGCCTGGATTTGCTTTTTGGTAGCTTTATTTAACAGTTTTTTTATTTCAGCATCGCTTACTACATCAGAAATAATTTCAATTTTTTTTGGATTATTCTCATTTTCATTGTTCCGTACAATGGTTTCAATTTGCCCTATGACATCCAGGTCGTCTTCAAAAATAACAGGCATATTATTTACGTCGTAAGGACTGATGTTGTACGAACAACTTGCAACTGTATGATCAAGCTGATTTTCATGTTTAGGTGGATCATTTTCTTTGCAATCGGTTTTAATATCAGTTTTCGTTTTTTTTCCTTTGCCCTTCCCTTTAGTGACTCCATCCAATATTTTTTCATTTCTCTGCTGTTTTTTTTCTTTTGGGAGTAAACAAGGTATGTATTCTGGGTCAGTCGTCTCAATATAGTCTTCATCGCTCGATAATAACACACTTTTTCCTGGATAAACCTGAAGCTTTTTCTTTTTTTTGGGTTCAACTATATTATTCGTCCCGTATCTATTTAAGACTGTCTCATCAACAGTTTCAGGCTGTTCAGCTTGATTGCCAATCAGGCAATTTTATTAAAACCGCTGAGGGATCAAAGGGAGTTTTTCTGAAGCCAGAAATAACATTTGCTGAGCCATTTTCTCTTAATTTTTCCATTAATTTACTAAGTAATTTGGGAAAACAACCTTTCGGAATCGAAGATTGATTTCGACCATCAATTTTCTTCCATTGTAAAATTATTTCTCTCCATGCTATTTTCATCGGTCTGAAGAACGCAATGTCGAGTAGTTGCATAATATGCGTGGAATTGGCTAGTAAGAAAATAAAATGTATATCCTTTTCATAGCATTTTCTTATTAAATCAATTGATAGGTTGGATGATAAGTTATCACCTATGAAACATTTTTTACCGAGTTTATTTTCAAAAAACGGAATTATCATACTGGTTACCCAATCCTAAAAAATGTTAGAATCAAACCAGCCAGATTGACTTCTATTATAACGGGCTCCTTTTGGGCCAGATTGTATCCAAGTATCGAATAAGTTCTGAGCCTTATTATCTACATATGGGGGTAAGATTTCTCCTGTAGACACGCCATCATAATTGAAATTGAAGCTTTTGAAGAATTAATTACCCTTTCAGGGTATTTTGTTCCTCTCTTAGTAATGATCTTTTTTCTGCCGGGATCATCAGCTAAATCCCTTTCGTCGTAGTTGACTATATTTTCGATCGGAACATCACTAACAGAAATTTGTAACTGTTGAAAATACTCTTTAATAGTATCTGGAGAGACTGCAGCTCGATTCCTTTTAATATTTTGTGATACCCTCTGAGATATTTTATCACTGTGCCTTTTCAAAAAACTTCTGGCGAAATCCGGCCCAGGTAAGTTATTTTTAAATCTTTTTTCCGTAACGCCTAACCTATCCAAATAATTTTTAACTAAAACCCTTAAGTCCTAAAGTTCCATAGGATATCCACATTCCGCACATACGTTAATGTATTTTATAAATTGAAGTTCCGTCTCCTTTACTCACTTACACACTGTCTGGCCTCCTTGGGTCTTCACATTTTTAATACTGTGTCTATAGAGGACAGATTTATTAATTTGAAATTTTTCGGCAACGTTGCTCAAGGAATTGCTCCCCTCGCTATACTCACGAAGAGCCTGCTCGACGAGTTCCTTGGTGTACTTTTTATATCTCTTTCCACGAGGATCTGGCTTGTACACCCTCGGCATGATGTTCACAGCACGATGTGGCGTATCTGTTTAAAATAATCATGAAGAATTCGTGAAAATCAAGTACAAGAAATGATGTAATTCACCTTATGTGAATTAATTATAATTCGAACACAAAATACTAATCGTCGCTACAGTCACTTACGCGTGTGAGTTAAAATTAACCAAGTAAAAACAAAGTAGAATTTAGAATACCTAATATTTAAATGTATTATTGAACATTACAAAATAGGGTATAACGAAAATATGTATTTTTAAGGATAAGTCTTTCTGCAAATGAACCCACAATAACCTAGGGCATTTTTGGAATGAGGCTAATCGCAAATATATCCTTAAACGGTCTTAAATAATTATCTCAGTAATCCAGAAAATGTTTTAACCAAAGCCGTTGAAAATAAAAAAAAATCTAAATTTCAAATTAAAGTGTTACAGAAAAACATTTTAACAAAAAATTTTAAATGAAAACTGTCATGATGAAAAAATACTCGATAGACAACCTTGAAAATCATGTTTCTATTAACCTCTTTCTCGTTGCTATTAACCCCTCACTCATATCTATTCACCCCTTTCTTCGTGTCTATTGACCCTAAAGGCGTTTCTAATCACCCCCGACTAGGTTCTATTCACCTGGAAATCAGTAAAAAAATACTAAGTCTCGATTTTACTAAAAAATAAGAACAAAATGATGGAATATTGATACTAAACTTTTTATTCCTAATAGATGAGAGACTTAACCATCCAAGTATGCAAATTGACAAAGAGTTATCAGTGACGAACTTGATGTTTTTTTAAGTTTTACACAGTCAATTAGACGTGGGCGTTATTTCACGTCACTAGATACAGTAACTGGCTACGTTACAAGTAGAGTCATGTTACAAGTGGTTATGATTACTGTTAACCATGATTATTGCGGGAGTCGACTGTCGGTCGGTCGAGCGCAAAGCGCACATGTGGCATACAACAATAAACAAAACATCGTAAGTAACAGTATTATTGTACGTTTAATTTTATACGTAATACTATAGACATAGACAATAAAATAGAGTAATCTCTGTTTGTAAATAATTTCAAAAATATTTTTGACGGAGTCATGAACTCGTTTATTCATAAAATTAAAATAAAACTAAAAAATAAATATAAATGTTTATAATATTATAAAACTTAAAAACTGTATGTAAATAGCCAAACAAACAAACAAATTAATTGTACAGTGTAAATAAAAGTGCAAAAACAAATGATGTTGAAAAAGTGTAAATAAACTGTAAATATTAATAATCATTGAAAAAGTGTAAATAAACTGTAAATATGAATAATCATAAATATAAATCAAATTGACTTGTAAATATGCCTGCATTAATAATTTTATGAAAATCTTAGTGTCATAGTAAACGCAAATCAATCATAAATACATTTATTGCAGTCAGTCCTAAACCTGAATAAAGTATGAAGGGAAGTTAATTTATTAATTTAACAGTATATAGTACTGTATAGCTACAAACACAGATTGTGATTAAATTTATTTTCGTTTCGTGTGTAACTGTATAGTTGGTGGTGATATTTATGCAAACAATCACAGTAGCCGAATAAAAATAGCCAGTTACAAATATCACTAGTTTTGAAACAGGTGACGCCGATCAAGTCACTGGTTTCGTTACGTTTCTTGAAAATGACGTAACGACCCACGTCTACAATCAATAAACACTTGTACGCAGACGTTCACTTCAACAGTTTTTTTCTTGACGTAAAGTTTAGGGTTGCCAGAATAAAGGAAAAATGTTGCAGTGTTATTAATAGTAGAAATAAAGATACTTTAACAGACTATAGAGCAACTAGAACGACCATAATCAAATTCTCAGATTTGTTTCTCTACACCCCGCGACTTCTATTCACCCCATTTTACGGTATTATATGTTTCAATAGGGGTCCACCGCCTTCGAAGGAAAGTGATAAAATAATGTTAGAGTAGTAGAGATATATGTTAAGAAGAACAAGGAAAGCCATTGCTAGAGCGAGAGGATGAGAACTTCTTATCAATTGACGTCATATCCTGTAGATAATTTTGCTTAAAGCTTTGTTTAATAGATGTGATTAAAGCTTTATTTTTTGTATTAACTGTCTAATTGTTTAAGATAAATGTTAATAATGATAAGACCTGTGTAAATGGAACTATATTTGTTACCATAAGTTATAATAAAGTTTCATATTTAAGATTTTAAGGTATGCAACATCTATGATAAGATGTAAATTACGTAATAATGCTTTGTATTTTAATAATGTCTTGTAAAATGTATGTTTTATTATTTTTATTAAGTAATCTTGTTTGTTCCTTTTAAGAATTTTTTGTATGTACCTTTTTAAGAAATAAAGTTATTTTACCAAATAGAGAAATCTGATAACAAAAAATGCGCGTAAAATAGAAGGCTTTTGCACACGGCCCACTTTACGGTGTACCACTATGGCGAATTGTTCGCAATTTGTGGATGCCAGATAGATCGCTCGTTGCGCATGACTCCAATGGTCGACTCGCACTCGCACAGACTCGCACGAGCAAAACTCTATGCAATACTGGCATCCACACTCCCGTTCAAAACAAAAAACACCATTTAAAAGACCTACATCCGTTCACGGCTGACCTACGCAGCGCCAGCCTGGTACGCGCTGACATCGGCCACACAGCGCAAGAAGCTGGAAGCCCAGCAGAATCTAGCGATCCGAGTCCGAGTGATCGTGAGAGCAGGCCGCTACGTCAGAAATGACCTCATAGCAAGGGACCTCAAAATACCCACTCCCACGTGAACTTCTACGCTCACCGCACGGCGATGGAGCCGCCGGGGACGAGTGAGTTTTCCCGATACCTGGCTTGATGGCGTGTAGTGCGCAACACCCCGATCAACTAGCTGCGTAGCAGCACCCAATACCGGGGAAGACGTGTCCGCTGCTATGACGTCCAGGTAGAGAGGAATGCCTCGGTACATGCAGGCTCTCCTGTCCGCAGAAGGGGGACGAAAAGGAGAAGAACCACTACTCGCAATTTGTTCGAAAATTTCTCCGGTTCAATATTTCTCCAAAGTTCGACTACCACCAGCAACAGTTATCACATTTGTCAATATTTTCAATTATTCCCTCATATCGAAACTAGTTATGCTGGACGAAACAGTGACGGTGGAATGAAAAAGGATAGAGCATGAACGCCTTAATATTCCTTTGCCTTCGAGACTGCCAAATGACCAAAACAACTCTAAATTCCCCTACTACTTTTGTTGGAGATAAGGCATTCCCTCTTTTATCTTACTTTATGAGACCATATACACAAAGAACTTTAAATGAATTGAGAAGAGTGTTTAATTACCAATTGAGCCGGTTTGGGATGATGACTGAAAAATTTCCAGTATTGAGTACTGCTATAAAATGTAACACAGTAGAAAAAGTAACAAACATAATAAAGGGGATATGAAATTTGCATAACTATGTTCGGCAACAGGAGGGTATTCAGTACAGTCCAAGAGAATTCCATAATTCTGACACTATTCCAGTTCCAACTATGTTGCCGCCAATGCAGCAAAATCTTGAAGTAAAACTGGCTTTCCACTATGTGATATAATATATATAGGGGAATTACGTACAAAATGACCTACTCGGACAAAATGACACAGGCATCATATTTCAAATTCTGTTAATTCTAGCCCGCCCCAGAAAACTATATCACGTGACTCTACCGGCTCATGCCTATCTTTCAAAACGTAAACTCGCGCCTATCTTTGGTTCTGGTGGCATAGCCGACGACAAAAATTGGTATGTTACGAGTTTTTTTTTTGATTGCAGGGAGTTTTTTGTATTAATATTATATTTTTCATAGTTTTACCGTGCCTTTTTCCGTGAATAATATTCATTTTGAATTTATTGTTGAATTTTGATTTTTTATAACGCTATAAGGACAAAATTACATACATAGGTAACGGACAAAATGACATAGGTATGTCGTTTTGTCCAACTCAATGAGCTAATTGTGCACTAGCTATTTACCTTTATTCAAAACTGTTAATTTCTTTAGAGATAAAACTTTACAAAAACACCTTACAAAAACGATACAGTTCAAACAACGGACTCTACTGAACAAGGCGATAATTCAACATCAAACACTGGTCAAGACCTTATTTTACCTGTTCCAAATCAAAATCTGTTGGTAATAAAGAACGCCCTTCATCCTATACTCTAGTAGTGCCTATTGAAGATATATCACCTGTCCCAAAAGGGAGTTTCATATATGGCCAAGGAAAACGTAAGCCAAAGATACAACAAACCTCTTTGATTTTGACTTCTCCTCCAAACATGAAGGCAATCAAGTCAAAACATGAGCCTAAAGCTCATGCAGGGAAGAGGAGAAGAAACGTTACCAAAACTTTGTTCGAAGAAGTTGGTGAAGAAGAAAATTTGGCTAGCAACGCTCAAGATAACGAAGAGGATTGTTCTTGCATATATTGCAACGATCTTTTTTCCCAGTCAAGCCCTGGAGAAGTTTTCGCAGTAGGCCCACGCTTCTTGCGCGGATGTTCCTAAACGAATAAAGCGAATGTTATAAATTTTGTAGTGTATGTTATTTTGTCCATGTTATGGACGAAATGGATTTTCGTTGAACTTAGTCAAACTTTAATTAAAAAAAGGTATTTTTACCTTTTAAATATCTATTAGAATTCATAGGTATAAAACCAAAGATTAGTAGTGTACAATACGAAAGTGCTGTGATTTATTAATAAAGAGTTATGACCCAAAAACAAAACTGTATGTCATTTTGTACGTATTTCCCCTATTATTTATATTTATTATCTACAAAAATGTCCTTGTACAAGTCTTTAGTTCGTTCCAGCCTCGAATACTGTAGCCAGGTCTGGACTCCATTTTATGACATTTAAGTGAAACGTATAGAGCGTATCCAGAAGCGTTTTTTTGTGGCATCTTTCGTACCAAACTTACAAAATAAAGGATCTTCCCTCATACCAAGA